TAATGACGGCTCATATTAAATTCTTATATAAAAGATAAATCTTATAATAAACATTAAAAATGCAAAATATTTTTGACTAGTAATTTTATAGAGTGCTCAATTACGAAGAAAAAATACAAAAAACCTTCTAAATCATGGACTAAGCAGTTTATTAGAAAGTAGAATTTATTTCTCTTTTAAAAAATAAATAGATTGATGTTTTAAATTTGGTAAAAAAAGTTACTGAATTAAGAAAAATTTAGTTAAAAGTTAGAAATAACATAAATGAGTTATCAATTATTAATAGCTCAAATAAAGATTTAGTTTCTTTGTAGATCTGCTACTTAGAAACTCTTTCCTTTCAAGAAAAAGATTTAATTATAGATCTTGATCTGTCATATTTAAATGAAATTCACCTTTCTTAAATTGACACTCAGTTAATAAAATAAAAACTTAAAATAAGACAAGCTTATGCTAAACGTTTCTAAAATAAACAAATTGATGATTCCTATAATCCTTACTAGGATTTTAATCTTTTTAGCAAGTAGTCATGTGTTATTTATGCGTAAATAGAATAAAATTATAATTTATCTATCAAGAAAGTATCTTCTTCCTTTTTACAAGTGTTTGGAATCACGTAATAAGATGCCTAAGATAAAAGAGTAGAAATTTTAATGCCTCCAAATACAAATTTGATTAATTAGCATAGATAATATATTGTAAGCTATTTTTAAAATTAAAATAACAATGTATGTTATTTGAAAAAAAAAAATCTATTTGGTTACTAACAGTAAGGCTTTATATTTCCCATTAAGGTTGATGTCCGTCTAAATTACAGTAACGGGTTGAATCAGATAGGGCTTACAGCTTATATCTAGCGCATTTATGACGAAAATGATTATATTTTGTTCCAATCTGATTCTTTAAATGTGATTGGTGCAACTTAAAATATTTTGAAGAACGTCTTCTTAAAAAATAATATAGAAATATAGAAATAATCAGATTTAGGTTAATTCTTTCCATTTTTATACAAATTAAAGCAGGATAAAAAAGCTAAACTATAACAATAATAAAAGGAATTTTAAGAAATCTAAGATTTTGAAACTAAAAAAGTTAATTCTTTGAAAGAATTATTATCTCAAAAGAGCATTAATTAAAAATATACCAAAATCTTAGATGAACATAATTTTGAAAAGTTCAAACTACATAATTAAGAATATATGCTTATCATTTAAAATTTTTAATCTTCTAACCAAGTTAAAAATTAAGTTAAACTTTAAAATATATCTTTCTCTTTAGTTGAAATAAGCATTAATGACTGCGAATATAAAGATGTTGATAACTTGTACTATATGAAAATATCTAAAATAAAACCTGTTCAACCGGAATTGAATTCATCTATAATTCTAAAGTATCTTAAGGAGTATTAAGAGTTTTATACTTAAGTTTTTACAAAAAATACTTTAGAAACTTTGTAAACAGAATTAGAATATAAGTTCTTAAAAATGGATTCTTTAGAAAAAAGCAATTTTAATTTTCAATTAAATTAACAAAATACTATTCAAAGTTAATTTAATTAAAACCAACAAAATTGTTAAAAGTGCTTGGAAGAAAATAAATTTTCAGAAAATAAAAGCTAAGATTTTGATAATTCGAATGAAAACAATACATTAACCCCTACAAAATCCAAATAATAAAGGATTAATACCATTAATAATAATTCTATTTATAAAATTTAAGAAGAAAACTCTCAACTAGCAACTAACAGTGAATAGAAAAGCCAAATATATCCTTAAAATAAATAAAATGATGCTTACCTGCAAGTAGAGATTCCTGACTAAAGTAACACCTATTATCATTCACCAAGAGATATTTTTAGCTAAAATTTTAGAAGTTAGTAAGATTTCATTTCATTATAACAAATAAGAGATAGCTACAACGAAAATGAAGAAATAAAATACGGCATTCCTTTAACTTCTAATAGAAAAGAGACAAATAGAGAACTTTTAAGTGAAGTTAATCTCTATAGTTAAGCAAATATAAACTCCCCAAAATAAAATTTTGATGAAAATCTATTATTTTAAAATGTAAAACAGGGTAACTTAAATAATAATGATAAAAACGGACAAATTTAAACAATTGTCAGTTTGAAATTAATTAATTAAGGAGGTTATAAAAATGAATAAATATAAGTATAGCAGCTATAAAGTACTCAGGAGATTACTTCTTTAAAAATGATAGATAATGCTCACTAAATAAATTCTTAGCAGAGGTTTTATCAAGATTAAGATATTTTATCTTAGAATTTATTAAACGTCAATGAAACTAAGGAAACAACTTATAAATTTTAAATGAAGAAGATGAAAAAACGAAACAAATAAAGGAACAAAGAAGACCAATTAGAAAATAACTCTTCTTCAGTTTCAAGAGAATCTTCTTCATCTACTAAAAAAAGATTAATTAAAACAATTAAAAAGTAGACCAGCTTATCTGCTATTAAGATCGTTATTTTATTCGGTGTGTTAACATACCTAGCACTAAGTATTCTTACAATTTAACAATATTTTAATTTCATAAATTCTGTTGATTTTATGAATTAAAATCTGAATTCTCAAAATTGGCCTTTCGAAATATAAATCGTAATTAGTAGATCTCTTAAAAATTTGAATATAATACATACTGAAAGATAAAATAATTTTACTTTTCCTTCTCAAGCAGATCATAATAAATTTGATGCTTAATTAATAAACTAATTGTAATAAAGCTAACAATAATTTATGTCCTTAATATAAACTATGGATTAGAGTGTAAAGGGTAAAATGCTTTATGATAGAATCAGTGTTTATAATTCTTCCTTTTACGTAAATTAGATTTATAATCCAAGTAACCTAACAAAGGCTCCTTCAAAAAGAACAACCTTTAATTTCGAATAAAAAAATTCATCCTTGCTATACTCCATCATTTTCATCAATTACTACATTTATTAACAATCAATTAATCCTACTGGAAAGCTATAAGAGGTTTGCATTCTTCAAAACCTTTAAGATATCCTACTAGGCGTCAAAGACACCTAAAATTACTTTTAAAATTATCAAAGTTAACAAGTTAAACAGATTTAAGATTCGTTATCTCTTTAAATCGGAGTGATTTTGGCTATATCTGCTATATGTTTGTTAAGTAGTCTTCCTCTATATTCATATATTTAAAAGAGAAAAGATAAAACAATTCAACTCTTCTGCACTTTTCCTGTCAGTCAACTATAAAACATTATTATTAAAATAAGGTAATCATATTACTAAAATAAAGTAATGAATCCTCATATAAAAAATATACCAATAGAAATTCAGATGCTCAATTATAAATCATAATAAGAATCTTAAAATCACAAAAAATAAACCCTAAGCTAAATAACAAAATTACCACATTTTAGCTATTCTCTTTTGATAGCTATTTTCATCTCTTATATTTTATTATCCTTCTATCCTATTTTCAACCGAATCTTCGTCTAAAAATATCTTGATAACTTGGATAATAATCTGATGATGCTTGGTAAATTTTTTAAACTTTAAACCAATATATAAATTTTTATATTATCTCAAATTTTTTCTTTTACTCCTTTTAAAGCAAATAAATATATTTAATAAAAAAATAAAATATTTTTAAAAACTTACTTTTTAATTTATTGAAATATTGAAAATAAAATAATTTATTTAACTTTTTTTTTTTTTTAAATAAAGAATATTTAAATACAGCCAGATCTTATATTATATACAGTTCAGGGATAATTTCTTTTGGATTTGATATGAAGGTTTTTCCAAGTTCAAGGATAGTGTAACTGAGCGATTACATTCCCGAAATGTAATCTATTATGAGCTAAACAAATAGCCTTCTGACTAATCTAACAATTGTTTCTAATTAATTTAATCTTAATAGAAGGTAAAATCTTATTTAATAAATTTAAATATTAAATAAAATAATAAAAAATTAGATATAAATAGTAATCATTTGACAATTTCTTTTTTCCTTTGTTTGAAGATGATATGTGCGATTTGATATCAAATAATTCTTACTATACTCAGAATTCTACTGTATTCAAACCATAATTATGTAAAACTATTTACAATGGTTTTCTCTAAAAAGGCTTAAAGCTATCCATAAAGTAGTTTAGCTAAAAACTACAAGAACTTTATGCAATAATATAAATTAAAGATGAAAAAATATAAGTTAAAGCTGTTTAAGAAATATTTAAAACATTTAATATAGAGGATTATTCTAATTTAATAGATTATCTAGATGAAATCATTAAAATAATGAAATACTTTCTCCTAAGTAACTGTAGTGAATACTATCAATATCTAAAAGAAGTGCAGCTAATTCTTATTATTTATCAGCTCATATTAATAGCTTTTATATTTGGCTTTTGCTGGTATGCGTTTAGCAGTGTATTAGCTTAACAAATCACAAAATTTAAGCATCATTTATAGGTTATGAATGTTTATCATTTGCTTGAAAATAATTTTATTCTATCTTTTGTTAAAAACAATATAAAACTATGAATTGTTTTTATTTAATTTTAACAAACAAATTTTATCAAAATTATCTATACCAATAAATGTATGTGTATTTATTTATTAAATTGTTTGATCTAAAAATTAATAACTACTGTAAAAAATTAATATTTTAATAAAAATTTTTATAAATTATTATTCTATATGTTTTATTCAATTTATATCAATGATAAAAAGTTTTGATCTTTTTAGGTGAAATATGAGGACTGGTTTTAGAGTAATTAATTAATTTATTTAATTAAATTTAATTTTTGAATTTTTGTATATTTAATAAGCTATTTATTAACTTACAAAAGTTTGATATTCATAAATATAAAAACAAACAATAATAGATTTATCTATACTTTAGGTTAAATTTTCCTATTTCAAAATATTATGTAATAAAACATATTATTATTCTATTATTGAAATATTTAATTTTCAATCATCCTTTTTTCACCACTTGTTTCTTTATCATTCTTCAAAATCTATTTCAAAAGCAACTAATGTTTTTGATTTAAGAAACATGATATTCAATTATTGTAATGATTCATCGATTTCGTTTTCACTTTTATATTAAATTAGTGTAAATAATTCAAAAAAATTATATAAAATAAAATTTTAAATTAATATTAAAAAGCATTAACAAAATAAATAAGAAAAAGAAAAATAAATCATATAAAAAGCTTGCAAATTAATTAAAAGTGCTTTTTTGTTTTAAATTCATTTTTATAATTAAAAATATCACAATTCAAAACAAATAAACAGTTTTTACTCAAGGTTAAGTTTCAAATTTTTGAGATTAGGGCAATTTAATAAAGCAGAGCCTAAGTCTAAAGCACCTTCATCATCAATTTAATTGCAGCTTTTTAAGTATTGAATAAAAATTATATTATTAATTATTTATTTAGAAAGTTAGTTAGTTAGTTAGTTAGAAGGAAAAAAATGAAGAAAAAATATGAAATAAAAAGAAATTAATTAATAAAAAAGCAAAAGGTGAAAATAAAAAATGAGTTAAATTAACAAAAAACAATCATAATAAAAAAAGAAAAAGAAAAATAAGTCAATATAAAAAGCTATAATATTAATTAAAAGAGCCCAGTTGATTTAAATTCATTTTATTATTAAAAATATCAAAATCCAAAACAATTTTACTTAAGGTTAAGCTTCAAATTTGAGAGATTAGCACAATTTGCTAAAGCAGAGCCTAAACCTGTAGCACCAATTGCACCAATTTAATTGCTTCTTTTTAAGTATTGATAAAAAAATATTAATTAGTTAGTTTGAAGGAAAAATATGAAATGAATAATTAATAATAAAAGAAGAAAAAAAATTGAAAATAAAAAAATGAGTTAAACCAACAAAGAAAAGAAAAGCAAGCATAAAAAAAGAAAAGAAAAATAAATCAAATAAAAAGTTATCAAATTAATTAAAAGAGCTCTATTTTTTTAAATTAATTTTTGTAATTAAAAATATCACTATCCAAAACAATTAAACTATTTTTACTCAAGGTTAAGTGTCAAATTTGAGAGATTAGTACAGTTTGCTAAACCAGAACCTAAGCCTGATGGACCTTCATCACCAATTTAATTGTTACTTTTTAAATGAAGAAGAAAACATTTTATTAACAAGTTAGTTATTTGAAGGAAAAAATTTTAAAAATTATGAAATAATAAAAATTAATGTCGATATAAAAAATAAATGATGAAATTAACAAACAAAGAAAAAAAGAAAAAGAAAATAAATCAAGTAAAAATCTATCAAATTAATTATAAGAGTTTTGTTGCTTTAAATACATTTTTATAATTAAAACAAAATAAACTGGTTTACTCAAGGATAAGTGTCAAATTTGAGAGATTAATACAGTTTGCTAAACCAGAACCTAAGCCTTATGCACCAATTTCACCAATTTAATTTCTACTTTTTAAAATTTTGAAGAAAAAATATATAATTAATTAGTTAGAAGGAAAAGATAGTATGAAATCAATCAATTAATTAATTATTTATAAAAGTTAGAAATAAAAAAATGAGTTAAATTAACAAAGAAAGAAGAAAAAAAAACAAGCACAATAAAAAGAAAAAGAAAATTAAATCAAATAAAAAGCTATCAAATTAATTAAATGAGCTCTATTGTTTTAAATTCATTTTTATTATTTTACATATCAAAATCCAAAACAAATAAACTATTTTTACGCAAGATTAAGAGTCAAATTTGAGAGATTAGTACAATTTAATAATGCAGAACCTAAGCCTGATGAACCTTCATCACCAATTTAATTGCTACTTTTTGATATAGAAGAAAAAATAAAAAATTAAAAAGTTCGTTAGAAGGAAAATATTTAAAAAAATATTGAAAATTATAAAATAAGTTAAATTAACAAAGAAAATGAAAAAACACAAGCACAATAAAAAAGAAAAATAAATAAAATAAATTAAAAGAGCTCACTCTCAATTTTGTGTATTAAATTCATTTTTAAAATTAAAAATATCACAATCCAAATCAAATAAATAAACTGTTTTACCGAAGGTTAAGTGTTAAATTTGAGAGATTAGTACAATTTGATAAAGCAGAACCTAAACCTGATGCACTAACTGCATCAATTTAATTATGACTTTTTAATAATTGAGAAAAAAATATCATTAATTGTTTAGCTTGAATAAAAAATATGAAATAAAAAGAAATTAATTAGTTAATTAATAAAAAAGCAAAAGTTGAAAATAAAAAAATGAGTTAAATTAACAAGCAAAGATAAAAAACATTAGAACAATAAAAAAGAAAAGAAAAATAATTCAATAATGCTATCAAATTAATTAAAAGAGCTCTGTTGTTTTATTTTCACTTTTCTAATTAAAAATATGAAAATCCAAAACAAATAAAATGTATTTACTCAAGACTAAGTGTCAGATTTGAGAGATTAGAGCAATTTGCTAAAGCAGAACCTAAACCTGAAATACCAATTGCACTAATTTAAATCTTTCTTTTTAAATATTGAATAAATAAAATATAGTTAGTTAGTTATTTAGTTAGTTAGCTTGTAGGAAAAAATATTAAATTAATTAATTAATAATAAAAACAAAAATTGAAAATAAAAAAATGAGTTAAATTAAAAAACAAAGAAAAAAAAATTAGAACAATAAAAAAAAAAAATAAAAATAAATCAAATAAAATTTATCAAATTATTCATTTTTATGATTAAAAATATTGTAATCCAAAACAAATAAACTATTTTTACTAAAGGTTAAGTGTCAAATTAGAGAGATTATTAATCTTCACTAAAGCAAAACCCAAGCTAGATGCGCCTTCATCACAAATTTAATTATTACTTTTTAAATATTGAAGAAAAAATAAATAATTAATTAGTAATAATAAGATTTCTTATTTGAAGAAAAATCCCCCAGAAAAAAGTAAATAGGTGGAAAGAAAAACCCCCTTTTTTCTAAATTAGGGGAGAGGGAGGGGTTCTTATTATAGAGAGTTTACAGCAATTAATTAATTAGTTAGTTAGAAGGAAAAATTAAATTAAAATAAAATAAAATATTTAGAAATTAATAAAATAATAATAAAGGTAAATAAATGTTGAATATATAAAAATGAGCTAGATTAACTAAGAAAGAAAAAACATAATAAAAAAGAAAAAGAAAATAAATCAAATATATAGCTAGCTATCGAATAAATTAAAAAATCTAATCTATTTTAAATTAAAAATATCATAATCCATCTAAAACATTAATCAGTTTTTTACTCAAGAAAAAGTATCAAATTTGAGAGATTAGAGCAATTTGCTAAAGCAGAACAGAAGCCTGATGCACCTACTTTGCCAATTTAATTACCACTTTTTAAATATTAAAGAAAAAAATATAATCAATTAGTTAGTTTGTTAGAAGTAAAAAATATGAAATGAATGAAATAATAATAAAATCAAATTTTGAAAATAAATAAATGAGTAAATCAAATTAAAAAAAAAGAAAAAAAAACACAAGCACAATAAAAAAGAAAAGAAAAATAAACACAATAAAATGCTAGCAAATTAATTAAAAGAGTTTTATTGCTTTAAATTAAAAATATCACAACCCAAAATAAATAAATAAACTGCTTTTACCCAAGGTCAATTATCAATTTTGAGAGATTAGTGCAACTTACTAAAGAAGTACTTAATTTTGATGCACCTTCATCGCCAATTTAATTTTTACTATTTAAATATAGAAGAAAAAATAAATAACTAATTAGTTAATTAGTTAGATGGAAAAAATATGAAATAGATTGATAATAAAAGCAAAAGTTAAAATAAAAAACAAGAGTTAAATTAACAAAAAAAAAAAAATATAAGTACAAAAAAAATGAAAAAAAAATAAATAAATCAAATAAAAAGCTTCAAATTAATTAAAAAATCTCTATTGTTTTAAGTTTATTTTTATAATTAAAATTTTATAATTCAAGACAAATAAACTATTTTTACCTAAGGTATAGAGTCAAATTTGAGAGATTAGTACAATTTTCTAAAGCAGAACCTAAGCCTAATGCACCAAGTGCACCAATTTAATTGTCACTTTTTATATATTGAAGAAACAAAATATAATTAATTAAAAGGATAAATAGAAGAAGAAAAAATATAATTATTGTGAATTTTGAACAAGATTCTTGATATTAACTGGAGTTTATGTAAAAAAACTAACACTTAATTATTAAACTTCAACAAATATAAGCCTAAGCACATTGGTAACCTTTGGATAATAGGATTTGTCTTCATGCTCAAAAATGAACATTATTGTAAATATCGGTAACCATAAATGATATCATGATTTGTGATAATTCAATTGATTATTATGTTAATTATGAATCTTTTTTTTTCTAGATCTTTATCATTTTTTTTATTTGATTATGAAAATTAATCAAAATAAAGAAAACTTTTTCAAATTTTGAGTGTAAAAAAATTCTTTTTACAGTAAATAAATTTTTTGAACTTTTTCGAAAGCAAACAAACATTATTTTTAAAATTAGACAAAATCAAATAAAATTTCTGAAAATATTTTATAACACCCCCAAGTTGCTAACCTTCTTACAACGTATATTTAATAAATTTAGAGTTAGATTTTTAAGAAGAAATCTTCATTATATCAAAAAACTTGTCCAAAATGGAAAATAAAAATAAAAGCAAATATTGAAAATAAAAAAATTAATTAAATTAACAGTAAAAGAGTAAAATAAAAAAGAAAAAGAAAAATAAATAAAAAGTAATTTTACTAAAGATTAAGTGTCAAGTTTGAGAGATTAGTACAATTCGCTAAAGCAGAACCAAAGCTTGATGTGCCTTTATCATTGATTTAATTCCCTCTTTTTAAAAATTGAAGAAAAAATATATTATTAATTAATTAGCTCGCCATAAGAAAAAAATAAAGAAAAAATATGAAATTAATTAATAATAGGAGTAAATGTTAAAATAAAAAATAAGTTAAATTAACATAGAAAAAAGAAATCACAATAAAAAAGAAAAGAAAAATAAATTAAATAAAAAACAATTCAATTCAATAAACTAAAATTATCATTTATCATTTTAAATTGATTTTTATAATTAAAAATATCACAATTCAAAAAAAATAAACTGAATTTACTGAAGTTCAATTATCAAATTTGAGAGATTAGAGCAATTTACAAAACCAGAACATAAGCCTAATACGCCTTCATCAAAAATTTAATTGTAACTTTTTAAATATTGAAGAAAATATTTAATTAATCAGTTGGTTTGAAGGAAAAAATATGAAATGAATTAATCAATAATAAAGTTGAACATAAAAAAATGAGTTTAATTAACAAAGAAAAATAAAAAAACTTAATCATAATAAAAAAGAAAAAAAATAAATAAAAAAACTATCAAATTAATTAAAAGAACTTTATTGTTTTAAAATCATTTTTATAGTTAAAAATATCGCAATTAAAAGAAAAAAACTGTTTTTACCCAATATCAAGTGTCAAATTTGAAAGATTTGAGCAATTTACTAAAGCAGAACCTAATCCTTTTGCACCATTTGCACCAATTTAATTACTACTTTTTAAATATTGAAGAAAAAATAAATTAATAATTAATTAATTAATTAGTTAGTTAGAATGAATAAAATATAGAAAAAATATGAAATAATAAGAAATTAATTAGCAAATGCTGAAAAAAAATAATTGAGTTAAGATAAAAAACAAAGAAAAAAAAGCTCAAGCAAAAGGAAAAGAAAAAGAAATCAAATAAAAAGCTATCAAATAAATTATAAGAGCTTTATTATTTTAAATTCATTTTTAAAATTAAAAATGTCACAATCCATAATAAATAAACTGTTTTTACGTAAGATAAAGTTCAAAATCTGTGAGATTAGTGCAATTTGCTAAAACAGGATGTAAGCTTGATACACCTTCATCACCAATTTAATTATCACTTTTTAAATATTTAAGACAAAATAAATTATTAATTATCAAGTTAGAAGGAAAATTAATTAATTAATTAATAATAAAAGTAAAGTTGAAAATAAACAATGAGTTAAATTAATAAAGAAAAAAAAATGCAATAAAAAAGAAAAAAAAAAAAATCAAATAAAAAGCAATCAAATTAATTAAATGAGATTTATTGTTTTAAAATAATTAATATAATTAAAATATCACAACCCATCCAAAACAAATAAACTGTATTTACCCAAGGTCAATTTTCAAATTTGAGAGATTAGTGAAATTTGCTAAAGCAGAACTTAAACCTTGTGCTCCTTCGTCACCAATTTCATTGCCACTTTTTAAATATTGTTGAAAAAATTGTGATTAATCAGTTAGTTAGAAAGAATAAATGAAGAAAAAATATGAAATGATTAGAAATGAATTAATTAATTAATAATAAAAGTAATAGCTGAAAATAAAAAATTAAGCTAAATTAACAAAGGAATAAAAAAAAAACAAGCACAATAAAAAAATAAATCAAATAAGTAATAAAAGCTTTATTCATTAAATTCATTTTTTAAATTAAAAATTTCACAATCTATAACAAATAAACTGTTTTTACTAAAGTCCAAGTGTCAAATTTTTAAGAT